TCATCAGAAATTTTCGTTAGTTCTCTCGAGTTTCGCCAGAACTTTTCGTTAATTTCCTTGGGTTTCGTCAGAACTTTTCATTAATTCCCTCGGGTTTCGTTGGAATGGATTAATCAAGAAAGGCAAGGGTCCACTGTACAACAAATTGTATCAGTTAAGTTCAGCATTAAAGTGTAGCAAGTAAGTTAAGCGATTAAGCAATAGAAAAAGGACGAAACGAAACTAACTCCTCCAATGTTGTTGGAGGTTTATAGGGCCACTGACATCATATGCCACACTGCCTATCTCCCACCCTGAACCTCTACCACCATCTCTGCTCCCAGTGTGTAAGTATACAATTTATATAAACTGTTTATTTCTTTACATTCTCTATTATGTTTTTATAAAATATTTATTTATAAATATAATGTTTCAGTGTTTTCCTTAGGAAACTAGTGATCTAGTGCAGTTAGCCTCACACACAATCCATTTTCTCTTATAATAAGAGCATGGGAAGATACTACATTGAGAGTGGGAGAGGGAATGGCGGACACTGCCGCCGCCACCATTTCTCGCCATATTATGGCCTATTTTATTCATTCTAGAGTATAAATCATGTTTTTGTGTTAATTATATTGTTTATTAAATCATATTAGATGAATTATGATAGATAAATAAGCCATAGAGTTGATATTCAAGTATTTTGTCCTGCCTACAGAGAGCAGGAATTCCACTGGACTGGATTAATGGCATTTCAATTAATTTAAATGAGGAAAACTGATTTGATATGTGAGCAAACCGAGTTACAAGCTGGGTCACAGAACGGATTATACTCCTAAGTCGAGGTTCCACTGTACATTCTATCGCTCTATGGAGCTTTAAATGTATATTACGTGGGGGTGGGGAGGCCATACCTACCACAACTGACCTCTTACAATAAATACTACTTACCTCTCACCCTACATTAAGATTACAAATATTTTAAGGTAGGTAATGAGTGTACTGTATATGCATTTTATTGCTCTAGGGCACTTTAATTGTCATAGTATATTACGTGTAGGTGGGGTGGCCAGGTGGGCTACTATACCTGACCTCTTACAATAAATACTAACCTGTCACCCTACATTAAGACTACAAATATTTTAAGGTAAGTAATGAGTGCACTGTGTGTGTATTTTACTTTTATTGCTTTTTAATGTATAATTCTATTGCTAACATAATATATGTTAGCGTAAACTTGTTACCTGGCATTTATATGTATCTATAAGTGGAAAAAATGGGGTTCTCCTTTCCAGCGGTAGCCTTGAACCTAACCTGCCATATAAGTGGGGCCCTACTGAAATTAGATATGAAGAAAGTCATTTCATAACAATATAAAGACAGTGACAGTGAAAGTGTTGAATGATGAAGAAAGTGTTTTTCTTTCTTTTTGGGTCACCCTGCCTCAGTGGGAGAGGGCCAATGTGTTAAAAAAAAAAAAAAACTAACTAAAGACAGTAGGCAAATGTTTTTGTTTTTTTATCACTTTTTTTCAAACACATTGCTTGTTCCCCACCGAGGCAGGGTGACCCAAAAAGAAAGGAAAACCCAAAAAGAAAGGAAAACCCAAAAAGAAAGAAAAAACCTTCATCATCATTCAACACTTTTATCTTCAAACATACATAATCACTGTCATTGAAGAGACACTCAGATACGACAGTTTAGAAGTCCCTCTAAACTGCCAATATCCCAAACCCCTCTTTTAAAGTGCAGGCATTGTACTTCCCATTTCCAGGACTCATGTGTAGCTAACCGGTTTCCCTGAATCCCTTCACAAAATATTACCCTGCTCACACTCCAACAGCTCGTCAGGTCCCAAAAACCATTCATCGCCATTCACTAACACACTCACGCATGCTTGCTGGAAATCCTAGCCCCTCACCCACAAACCTTCCTTCATCCCCTCCCTCCAACCTTTTCAATGACGACCCCTACCCCAACTTCCTTTCCCTACAGATTTATACGCTCTCCAAGTCATTCTACTTTGCTTCATTCTCTCTAAATGACCAAACCAACTCAACAACCTCTCTTCAGCCCTCTCAATAATACTTTTAGTAACTCCACACTTTCTCCTAATTTCCACACTCCAAATTCTCTGCATTATATTTACACCACACACTGCCCTTAGATGGGACATCTTCACTGCCTCCAGCCGCCTCCTCGCTGCAGCATTTACAACCCAAGCTTCACACCCATATAAGTGTTGGTACCACTATACTTTCATACATTACCTTCTTTGCCTCCACGGATAATGTTTTTTTCGTCTCCACACGTACCTCAATGCACCACTCACCTTTTTTCTTCATCAATTCTATGGTTAACCTCATCCTTCATAAACCCATCTGCTGACAAGCCAACTCCCAGCTGAAAACATTCACTTCTTCCATACTTCCTCTCTCCAATGTGATATCCAATTTTTCTTTTATCTAAATCATTTGATACCCTCATCACCTTACTCTCATCTATGTTCACTTTCAACCTTCTACCTTTACACACTCTCCCAAACTCGTCCAATAACTTTTGCAACTTTTCTTTAGAATCTCCCAAAAGCACAGTATCATCAGCAAAAAGTAACTGTGTCAACTCCCATTATGTATTTGATTCCCCATAATTTAATCCCACCACTCTCTCGAACCCCCTAGCATTTACTTCTTTAACAACCCCATCTATAAATATATTAAACAATCATGATGACATTACACATCCCTGTCTAAGACCTACTTTTTCCAGACCTACTTTTTACCTCTCTCCTACATCCCCTAACTTGAGCCTCTCTATCCTCATAAAAACTCTTTACAACATTTAGAAACTTACTACCTATTCCATACACTTGCAACATCTGCCATATTGCTCCCTATCCACTATCATATGCCTTTTCTAAATCCATAAATGCAATGAAAACTTCCCTACCTTTATCTTGTGAGGGAAAAGTTCAATAGATAGGAGTAGCAAGGGAGTATATAGTAACAATAGTTTCATTGCCGGCTACTTGTTAAGGTAGGGTAAGTCAAGCTCCCGCCATTCCCGCCTTTTTTCCCCGAAAGTGATAGTCTGACTGCCGGCTGCTTGTTAAGGTAGGGTCAGTCTAGCTCCCGCTATCCCTTCCCCTCCTTCTTCCCCCCCCCCGAAAGGTGATGTGTGGGGCTCCGGTCCAAACAGTAATCACTAGACTCACAGCTCCCAGCACTACTGTAAGTACATGCCTGCCTTGTATTCTAGTGGATTTATTGGTTGAAAGCTTCACTTTTGACCAATAATAAACTTAGTCCTTTCAGTCTTGCTCTAAGCTGACTGTTGTAATAGTCACCACATCTTTTAGGTATTGTACTTATCATGGAGAGTGATTTCTTAAGCAGTGGGTAACCTGTCTATCTTTCCAGCTTGGATGACAGAGAGGGTCACCTGCCAATCAACGAGTAGAACTGATGGAGATGGACTAATGTCCTGAGACTTCCCCTTTTTGGATTTAATTACCTGTGCACCTGTATGAAATTGCAGGACGTAACCCCTCATCATTACAGCGGTAAAGAACCTGCTTTCCTGTCATCGGGATAGAATACTCAAGGCTATACTGTGAAGAACTAGCCAATGGGTTGTAACCAACACCTGCGACCCCCCCCCCCATCATCGGCAACGGCTACGATTTCAACAAGCAGTGTCACCAACACCAGACACCCAAGTTTTATTCGTTGAATTCAGTTATCATTTATATTTTTCATTTTTCACTTTCTTAAATGTAGGATTAATATTTCATATTTAAGTGTTTTATATTTTATATTTTCTAAATAATAAAGTGTTTATGTTTGTCAGTTTTTATTCTTTTTCTATACATTAATTTTCCTGAGGAGGAGCCAGCCTTGGTAATACTGTCTGAAGTTGTTACAGGGCTGAGTAAGCCTTCACATATCTAAATAGTTCAAATATATGCTTCAATGTTAACACTCGATCTGCTCATCTCCAATCCTACTCTCTGTCTTACCTCTAATTCTTTCAATAATAACCCTGCCATACACCTTATTTGCTATACTCAGTAAACTTATTCACCTATAATTTTTACAATCTCTTTTGTCCCCCTTCCCTTTATATAAAGGAACTATGTATGCTCTCTGCCAATCCCTAGTTACCTTCCCCTCTTTCATACATTTATTAAACAAAAATACCAACCACTCCAATACTATATCCCCCCTGCCCCCCCCTGCATTTAACATTTGTCATGATCCCGTCAGTTCCGGCTGCTTTACCCCCTTTCATTCTACATAATGCCTCATCCACCTCCCCCATGCTCACATCCTGCTCTTCTTCACTCCTAAAAGATGTTATACCTCCCTGGCCAGTGCATGAAATTACTGCCTCGCTTTCTTCATTTACACTTAAAAAGTTCTTCAAATTATTCCCATCTACCCAATACCTCCAGCTCCCCATCTACTAACTCCCCTACTCTGTTTTTAAGTGACAAATACATTCATTCCCTAGGCTTTCTTAACTTGTTTAACTCACTCCAAAATTTTTTCTTATTTTCAACAAAACTTCTTGACAATGTCTCTCCCACTCTATCATTTGCTCTCCTTTTGTACTCTCTCACCATTCTTTTATTCTCCATACACTACCTGTTCCTCTTTTATCACACCCTTTACTTCATCATTCCACCAGTCACCCCTCTTTTCTCATAAACCCACTCTCCCATAGCCACAAACTTCTAATACTGCATTTTTAAAACTATCACATCCCTCTTCAATCTCCCCACTCCCCATACTTGCACTAGCTCACCTTTCTGCCAATAGTTGCTTTTATAATTATTGCATAAAAAAATATTAATACTACAAGAAATAAAATGATTACTTATGGCAACTCCTGTTTGTCTAGTAAAAAAGGACATTCCTACATTTGTTTCCTAGGTACACAAAGTACATGGTCTATCCAAAAGATTCCATAAACATTATATGCTTTCAGATACAAGAGCAAAGCCGTGGAGTTCAACTAACATGAAAGAAGGGGGAGTCGGGCTTCGTGAAGGAGACCTGTTGAATGGTACTCGAGCAGGAGAGGATCTGGGAGACTTGGATCTGGACCTGGATCTAGATCCAGATCTGGACCTTGACCTGCTTCTTGTTCTGGGGGACCGTGAGTTGGAGCGGGATCTTCTTGGTGATTTGGAAAGTGATCGTCTGTGAACTCGAGGTGGTGTACTGTCAAAAGAAATTACACTTAAAAAATAAATATTTTTCTAAGTTGGTAAAATATGATTGGTTCATTTATAGAATTTTCAAGTGAAATATATTTCTCATTCTTAAAGGAAAATACATTTGCAATGTTTTTTTTCAAACTTTTATGGTGTCATTCATTTTATGTTTGAGACAGAAATGCAGATCAGATAATACCGGATAACAGTGTCCTGCTCTGCTATATAAGAAAGATAAAATATGCTTCGCACAAATGAATTAAAAATACAGTACATTACTTCTAAAAATTGACTTCTGGTATGTTGATATATTAGGTAGAGAGAGAGAGAGAGAGAGATTAAAAATTGCACAAAAAAATTAGTAACAATGATGTAATGGTTGAAAGATTTTCAATGAACAAGTTGAACTTAATTATCAGAAACAATTCACAGCAACAGTGAAACCATGCTATGTAAAATACATATATTCACACTAATGGCAGTGAAAGAGAAGGAAAATTAATAGGCAAAGCACAAAGACTTGGGATTTACTCTCCTACACAAAACAATTAGAAGATTCAACAAATTTTGATTCAAAGTTTCACTGTTTATTATATCTATATTTGCTTTTAAGTTTCAGGAAAGTGTCATTCCAAGTATATGGAAAAAAAGTCAGCAGCACTGTATTTCTAATTTCATTGCAAAGTAGTAATAATAAAATATAACTACATTACTGTAAAGTCTTAGACAACTCTTTGAGTATCTGTTGTATTATCTCTAAAGAACTTAACATCACAACACTAGAAACCAGAAAAAGGGTTGACAAAAGCCATGGGGAAATAAAAGGAAAATGTAAGAATAACACTTAGCTTATGCTAGATACTTCAAGCTCCAGCCTGGGCCAAGTGTTATTACTACATTTTTCCTGAAGAACCTGATGAAGAGCCTTTACTATGAAAAGTTTTTTTCCAGCCATTTTCCCAGTTTTTGGAGGGTGATCTGATACTCAATAATCACTGAACTTATGAATTTTTTGTCAGAACACCACCCTACTTATTCTCCAAAGAGAAGTGGAACAAAATTCTTTCTAAGTAAGCCATGTGTGTCGTAAGAGGCGACTAAAATGCCAGGAGCAAGGGGCTAGTAACCCCTTTGCCTGTATACATTACTAAAGTTTAAAAGAGAAACTTTCATTTTTCTTTTTTGGCCACCCTGTTTTAGTGGGATATGGCTGGTTTTTTAAAAAAGAATACCCTACTTGTGTGGTTCACTTATCCTTTGAAATCTAAAAACACTTGATGTACCAGAAAGTTTCACATTATAAAGTACAGTATATTAACAAAAGCATAAACCAAGCAACTGAAACAGGTGTCACATTTGTACTAATTTAACCACTTCGCCATCTATGCTGTAGTACTATGGGTTTGAGGTCACTGTCTGTGCCACAGTACTACACCATGAGCTCAGCTCACTCAGATAAGCTGTGAGTGGTAAATTTTGGCATAGATATGAGAAAATGGGTCTATGCAGTAGGTGTGCATAATACAAAAAAAAAAAAATCCTGCAGCACGCAGTGCATAATGAGAAAAAACTGCGACTGTGTTTTGGGTTTAAAACATTAACTTTGCAGTGTATTTTTGCATGGTTTTTATGTTGTATTCTCGGTTTCTTGGTCTCATTTGATTGGAAGACATTATAAAAGTAGAATGATTCTGACTGGTTTCAGGACTGAAAATAGCTTGAAATTTAGCTCAAAATAGTGAAAATGTTGATTTTTTTCCCAATATTCCAGAATACACAAATTACATCACATGTCCAATATGTGTCCAATTGGTCGTCTAATATGCATTCATGAATGCAATGACATTATCTGTACAATTATTACGATAATGCATTACAGTAAATCTACTTTTTTGTGTGAATAAAATTTCAAAATTAAATTCATGTGTAAAGCCTGGTAACATAACTAATGAACAAAGGAAATGCTATTTTAGTGCCAGGAATGCCTGCATTGTTTATTCTGGATCCTATTTTGAAATTTGTGTGACATTGGTCTACGTACCAATTTTTGACCACTTTACTGGGTAGCTCAAGTAGCTGATTGGGCAGTTTCTTGTGCTTAATCGATAAAACAGAAGACATACTAGCAAAATTGCTAAGAATTCAGTCTACTGGAACAATGTAATTGGCCTAAAATAGGACTCAAATTGGGCAAAATCACCAATGCATAAATATCGCAAAATTCGCAAAAGCATACTGTCATCACTTTTCCATCAAATTTCATACTTTTTGTTTTATTACCTTCAGAAAAAGATTCTCTACCATTTCATAAGAAAATTTTTTTTTTTTTAATTCTTAGATGCTCTGAACAAGTTTTGGATCAGTGGTCTGGACAATAAAAGGGTTAAAACAAGAGGAAAACAGTTAAGATGAACAAAGCCCTGCATACAGTAACCTACCGAGATGGAGAGTGTGACCGAGATCTTTGACTGGATGTACTTCGTCGTAACGGACTTGGACTTCGTGAACGTGAGCGGGAGCGAGATTTTAGCTTCTCCTCAACTTTTTCTGGACTTTCTGATCTGTAAAAATATTACACATTTTAATCTGTAAAAGTATTACACATTTTATCTTTTCTTAAATACAGTGGACCCCCGCATAATGATCACCTCCGAATGCGACCAATTATGTAAGTGTATTTATGTAAGTGCATTTGTACGTGTATGTTTGGGCGTCTGAAATGGACTAATCTACTTCACAATATTCCTTATGGGAACAAATTCGGTCAGTACTGGCACCTGAACATACTTCTGGAGTGAAAAAATATCGTTAACCGGGGGTCCACTGTACTACAGTATATAAGCATACCTTATTTAATTTTAAAGGCTGGTTTTAAGATTTCACAATGTTACAGGGGCAGTCACAAACATGGAAGGAAGTTATAAGAATTAGTGTGCTGTGACCAGAGGTCATTCAGCATTTTTAAGCTTAGAAGGGTTAAGACAAAAACATCAACACACAAGTGAAAACCATAATGCATAAATGAAAAGATATTCAAACTAATATGAATACAAAAATAAAAATCACATTATAAAAATAAAGATCAATTTAAAAAAAAAAAAGCATTAACTTCCTAATGTCAAGAGACTCCTCTAAAATTTTCTTGAGGTTGTAGGCAAACTGTTAAAATGATCCAACATGAGCTGCACACACTGGTGACAATGGGAAAAGTATATGTGCCTTGTTCTCAGTTTACAGAGAACCTTTTCAGAATGATAATTCTTTTTGAACAATATGATAAAAACACCTAAGATCTGTTGAACCCTGCATTACAGTAGGTCACCGAAAAATGAACATTATGTCTGCCTGAAAAAAAACTGTAACTTGGGTGTTCAGAACTCTCAATCCATTTTCCTCATAAACTTTTTTTTTTCCTCAACACGTCAGATGTCTCCCACCAAATCAGGGTGACCCAAAAAGAAAGAAAATTCCCAAAAAGAAAATACTTTCATCATTCAACACTTTCACCTCACTTATACATAATCACTGTCTTTGCGGAGGCGCTCAGATATGACAGTTTAGAAGTCCCTCCAAACTGCCAATAACCCAAACCCCTTTGTCACTGTCTTTGCGGAGGCGATCAGATACGACAGTTTAGAAGTCCCTCCAAACTGCCAATAACCCAAACCCCTCCTTTAACCCTTAAACAGTCCAAACTTATATATACTTTCTTACGCATAGCACCCCAAACGTATATATACGTTTTATTTGTCCTACCTTCAAATTTGGCACGATTGGCCTGAGATGCCTTTTAAGCATAGAATGGGTCTTAACACTCAGTGTGCACAGTATTAAAAAAATCTTGGACCACTTAGTACCTTGTGGGAGAGCCAGTTAAATTGAGCGCCAGCTAGAGCAAACAGTGCGGCAAACACCAAGGATTCACTGATGTAATGTCATATTAACACTCCTCTTTTAAGAGGAAAGTGATGTTAACCCCAAGTTTAGGGTCTATCTATCTCTGTCTCTATCTGTGTCTGTCTCTGTCTTTGTCTATCTGTCTCTCTTTCTATCTGTCTGTCTATCTCTATCTCAAAGGTACACATAAATACAAGTATACATAGTGTAAATTATCTAGGATAACCCAAAAAAATCCAGACAAAGTGCTATACTCTGCTTGAAGATGTGAGTAAACGTGATGACGACGCAGTCTTGTGACTCTCTCTGAGACAGAGAGCTAGATGGATAGACAGATAGACAGGGAGCTTGAAGACAGACAAATAGACAGACATGTTTATGTACCAGCAAAAACAAAGTGAGGGCAATGCTCATCAAATATCACCTCTAATCTTTTCTTATCAGCTGCCCCCTTCCCCACCCTCGTGTATGCTCATCAAACGTCAGTTCTTATCAGTTATCTCATCTTATCATGTCACTGTCAGGGGTGGACTTTGTTTTTCATGCTTCAAGGCAACAACAACTACAACTACTACAACTACTACTACTTCTTCTACTTCCACTACTTCTATTTCTACTACTACTACTACTACTTCTACTACTACTTCTAGTTCTACTACTACTTCTACTTCTACTACTACTACTACTACTTCTACTACTACTACTACTACTTCTACTACTACTTCTACTTCTTCTACTACTACTACTTCTACTACTACTACTACTACTACTACAGTGGACCCCCGGTTAACGAACTTTTTTCATTCCAGTAGTATGTTCAGGTGCCAGTACTGACCGAATTTGTTCCCATAAGGAATATTGTGAAGTAGATTAGTCCATTTCAGACCCCCAAACATACACGTACAAACGCACTTACATAAATACACTTACATAATTGGTCGCATTTGGAGGTGATCGTTAAGCGGGGGTCCACTGTACTTCTACTTCTACTACTTTTACTACTACTACTTCTACTTCTACTACTACTTCTACTTCTACTACTTCTACTACTACTACTTCTACTACTACTACTACTACTTCTACTTCTACTACTTCTACTACTTCTACTTCTACTACTGCCCCTACTTCTACTACTACTACTTCTACAAACTACTACACCCTACTACAACTTCTACTTATTCTACTTTACTATTCCCTACTCCTTCTACAATTTCTACTACTTAAACTTCTACTACTACACTTCAACTACTATTTACAAACTACTCCCTACTTCTACTACTATTTACAATTTCTACTACTACTAAACAACTACTTCTACTACTTTTTACAAATTTTTGCTACTTCTACTACTACAATTTGCTACTACTACACTACTATTTAACTATTCTACCCCACTTCTACTACAAATTTCCCTGCTAGGGACTACTTCTACAAAAAATACTGCTACGACTACTTTTTACAAACTACGGGTACACTACTTCTATTTACAAACTACTTCTTCTACAATTTCCCTGCTTTTCTACTTCTGCAAAACACTACTACTTCTACTACAACTTCACGACTACTTCTACTACTACTGCTACACTATTTCCCACTACTACTACTACTACTTCTTCTACTACTTCTCTTTTTCCCTATTTTCTGCTACTACTACCCTACTTCTACTTTTACTACTACTATACTACTATTTTCTTCTCTACTACTACTGCTACTACTTCAAAACTACAAATTTCTACTATGACAAATACTAATACTTTCTACACAAATTTTGGACACTGCAACTCCCAAAAACCCCCCTAACTACAAACTTCTACTACTACAACTCCCAATTTACAACAACTACTACAAACTAAAAATACTACAATTTCACATGACTACTACAAACAAATTCACAACTATTTATATTTACAAATACTAACAAACTATTTCCCACTACTACTACTTCTACTACTACTACAAACCTCCCTACTACTTCTACTACTACTACCTCAACTACTACTTTTTTCCAACTACTACTACTAAACTTCAACTACTACTACTTCTCCCAATGACAAATACAAAATATTTTCAAACTACAAACAATGACAACTGCTACTACTACTCCCTACTACTACTAACTACTTCTACTACTACAACAACAACTACTACTAAAAACAACTACTACTACTACTACTTCTCCTATTTTACTACTAATACTCCCAAAAAAAAACTACTATTTACTACTACAAAGACTACTACTACTACTATTTACTACTAATAATAATAATAATAATAATAATGCTAATACTACTTCTATTTAAAAATTTCTTTCCTTCTTTTCTATTTTTTTCTTCAAAATTTTTCTTCTTCTTCTAATTATTCTTCTTCAAAATTTAATTCTTCTTCAAATTTTATTATCTTCAAATTTCCCTTCTTCTTCAAATTTCTTCTTCTTCTAATTCTTTTTCCCTTCTAATTCTTCTTTTTCCAAATTTCTTCTTCTTCTAATTCTTCTTCTTCTAATTCTTCTTCTTCAAAAATTTTTTCTTCTTCTAATTCTTCTTCATTTTAATTCTTTCCTTCTTCAAAATTCTTCTTCTTCAAAATTTTTTTTTCTTCAAATTTCCCTTCTTCTTCTAATTTTTCTTCTTCAAATTTTCTTTTTTCAAATTTCTTCTTCTTTTTAATTATTCCCTTCTAATTTTTTTTCTTCTAATTTTCTTTTTCCCTTCAATTTCTTTTTCTTCAAATTTTTCTTTTTCTAATTGTTCTTTTTCCCTAATATTTTTTCTTCTAATTATTCTTCTTTTTCCAAATTTAAATCTTCAAAACCCTTCTTTTTTTCTAATTCTTCTTCTTCAAATTCTTTTTCCCTTTCAAATTTTCTTCTTCTTCTAATTTTTATTCTTCAATTTAAATTCTTCTTCTTCTAATTTTTCCCCTTTTTTCAAATTTCTTTTCTTCTTTTCCTTCTTCTTTTTTCTTCAAATTTCTTCTCTTTTCAAATTTTCTTCTTCTTCTTCAAATTTTACCCCCCCCTTCTTCTTTTCTAATTCTTTTTCCCTCTTCTTCTAATTTTTCTCTTTCTTCTTCCCTTCCCCTACTACTACTACTACTATTTCTACTACTATGACTACTCTACTACTATTTACTTCAACTACTACTACTCCCCCCTTTACAAACTATACTACTTTTTTCTACTACTACTTCTACTACTACTTCAATTTCCTCCCTACTACTATTTCTACTACTACTCCCTTATTTCTACTATTTCTTACTATTTACTACTTCTACTATTTACTTCTACTACAACAACTCTACTACTACTACTACTACATTTACTACTTTCTACTACTATTTTCTACAAACTACTATTTCACAAACTACTTCAAAATACTACTACTTCTACACTACACTTCTATTTACTACTAATACTACTACTTCTACTACTATTTACAAACAAACTACTTTACTACTTCTACTACTAAACTACCCCTCCCTTCTACTCCCTATTTACTACAATTTACTTCTACTATTTCTACTCCTACTACTAAACTTCTACTACAAATTCTACACAAACTTCTACTACAAAATTCTACTACTACTATTTCTACTACAACTTTTTTCTACAAACAAACTTCTACTACTACTTCTACTACAAACTACTACAACTACTACAACTACT